AATCTTGTTGGATTGATAGGCCGTTATTTTCTGTTATGCACACAAGCCAATTCTTGAAATTGATTTTCTGTAGAATCCACTTAGAGTTATTTAAGATTCTCAGTTTTGCTGAAAAGAAATTCGCCAGCACGGTCATTCTTTAAATTTGACACAATGACTTTTAAAATGACTCTGACACTAATCTCCCCTTCTTTGTGGTGATCTGTGGGTGTGAATATGAAAGTAGATGCATTTCTGTGTTTCACAGGTACAGTCTGGTGTGAATCTGCCTAGTCACGGGTTAAATCATTCCAGAGAACTTTGTTCAGTTTCTTTCTTACATTTTGCAGGAAGACCGAAGCAAAGGGGAATTTAAAAAAGAAGAGAAGAGAAAGAAAGACTGAGGCAAATTTGTTTCCTGTGTCAACACACTGGGGGCACTGTCATTAATCTGGCTTCAAGTACAACATGTTTTAAGTTTGAGGTGGAGTAGAGGTTGGTGTGGGCCCAGCAGGTGGGCCGCTGAGTCTGCTGAGAGCAGCAGAGTGTGAGATAAAAGAGGACGCCGCTTAGTAGGCAAGGCAAATGAAAAAGTCTGGGCTGGGGGCTGCAAGTAGCCAGTGAACACGTGTGGGCCTGCACACAACAATTTGGTCAAAATGGGCACACACACAAACACAAACGCACACACACAGAAATAGCAAGCTCATCAACGTTAGTTTATATTTGTCCATTTGCTACTAAACGCTTTTTAGTAGCTGGTGTTAAATACGGTTCATATAAACACATGACCATAAGAGTCAGTGTAGGTGTCTGTGTGTAGCTGTCATATCAACTTCTGTTTCTTTAATGCAGGAAGAGCAGATAGAAAGTGTAAATGACAGCATTTTATCTCAGAAACCAGACGAGTTTCAGGACCATATGTTTTTCCATTTCTCCACTGGACTGCACATAAATCTCTGTAATGTCAGCTGAACCATAGCCCCAAATTGGGGCTATTGATTTGATATTCAAAGTAAAATAAATCTTTTGGAAGTCTCTGAACATCTAGGCAACACAAAAAAAATTATTTTGTGCTGCCTAGATGTTTGGCCCCCTTAATTATATTTTAATTTCAGACCGGTTCAAAGCAGCCTTTTCCCCACAAAGCTAATGAAGAACCCCTTGACCCACTTGGATGAAATCTATTTTTAGCCAACCAGCACTAGTTTAAAATATGGAGGGCTACATACTGCATGGGAAGGATGCTGTATTTGTCGGCTTCTGCTCCCACCTCTCACACATATGTGGAATTCATCACTACTGAGTGCCTTTCAGCCTGCTTTCTCAGGCTACACAAACACGAGCCGGAAACATAACGCATAGAGCAGAGCATCCCAAACTCAGACGCTCTTGGAATGCTAACATGGTGGTGTTAGATTTCCCAGCTACCACTGCTCCCTCCTGGGTTGAAGCAGCTACAAATTCTTTCAGTTCAGAGGTCAACACATGATGAAATGTAACTGCCATGCCTGCTGCTGGCCCAGATTTCTACCGGGAAATGATTTGAGGCTCTTTGTGGTTGTGAAAAAGTAGACGCTACCTTCTTAACGCAGACTTTCATGCAAAATGTCTCAAAATGGCATTTTGTGCAGAAAGCCCAGCTTTTCTGAAGCACAGCTAAGGACAGTGGGTGTCCAAACCCCGCTGTGAGCCCGTCATTTTGTACACACGTCAGCCCTGCAACCCATCTTCACACATACTTGCACACTGGCCGCAATACAAAGAGAAGCTAGGGGAAATAGTGTTTTCAAAAGGACAATAGGTGCAAGTTCTCCTGCATATATTCTCTCGGCTGACAGCAGCCTGACAGCATGTGTCTGCTTGGGATGAGCCAGAAATTGTGGATGTAATGGGATGGAAAGATCTGGAGTTTTGCCCAAGCCTCTTAAAATGCTAACCAAGTATCAAAGCTGATGATCCTAGCGAGCATTCAGAAAGCAGAAAAACATCCCTTAGGAAAACTATATTTCAAAAGACCTTCGTGAATATCTTAAGCCGATGTTTATCTCCAAACACTGAAAAAGCCCCACTTCTTTCAGTCAACATCTTTCAGAAGCATACGGCTAAATGAGAACTCTTAATAGGTGGTCCAGTTCAGTCCAAATGACAGCTCAATTTTCTTTGTAAAACTAAAAAAAAAAAAAAGTATAGAAAAGCCCCAGAATGGTCTTTTTTGGGCTGAAATGAATATGAAAAGCACCATTTGACGCTTTGTCAGTGGGACAAAGGACACGGCTGTGGAACTGGGAGACCAACCCTCATCTGGCTAAGCTCTCAGAGCGTCTGTCCAGGACTCCATGCATTCCTCCGTTAATTTCCCCTCAGTGGGCAAGCACTTTCCCTGCCAGGGACTTGTCTTACCTCCGGTGTAACCGCTGCAGCTGCTTGTGTTTGGATGACCTGGGCCAGGAAATACTAGTGTTGGTCTCTTCCTGTATATCTCTGGGTTCAAAAAGGGTCATAGGGCTTCTAGTAAAAACTACAGTATGGAGGAAAAACAAGTAAATATAGGCCCTAAAATTAGATTAATGTAACTTAAATAGAGTAGCCGCCGCTGTGCTGTAGTACTAAAAAGGTTACACTGATCTTACTACTTGAGGAAGCCCTGCCCAGCTCGTTTCGGTGTTAATGGAGCACCATGGAACAAATGTTTGGGGCGGCAGGGGTGTTAAACACGCCGGGGGTCAGTGTCTGTACCATGGTAACGGCTGGGATGCCGCCTCCTGGGAAAGCAGACATTCAGCCGAGCAGAGCTGTACAACAGCCTGCGCACAAAAACACTGCAAGTCGTAACATGCGTTCCATTCCAGAGTACACATACAGACCCACACGCGCACACACACACACCAAGGAATGGGACAAAAGTTGATTAGCTCACTCATCTGCATCGCCTGTGGTTTCTTTCTGCGATAAACGAGTAGGTTTTTCCACTATATTGAATGTACAAAGTCAAATACAAACAGCAACTGACAACAGCAATAACTGTCATTATATGTCATCTCCTATAATGAGCCTGAAAAGCAACTTGAAGTGAGGAAAAGTGTTATTACACAAGTAGAAGTGAACATGGAATCAAGCGGAGGTACAAGCTGACACAACCAGAACAGGCGAAAATTCGCCAAAGAAAGCTGTCTTAGCCACAGATCAAATCTCCTCTGACAGGATTACAGGCCTGCACTTTCTAACAATGGATGATGAATGGGTTGCAAAGAGATTTTGATAAAAGGGGGTTGGAAAAAACATGCACATACAAACCCACAGCCTGTGCCACTGTACCAATCCACTGTAATACCCTTAGATGTATTGACATTTTCATTGTGGAAACTAAATCAAATGTCATGCAGAACAGAAACAGCCCTCCAAAGCAGCCAGTCATAGTCAACACTCATGCAAATTCTTATAAGAGCCTGTCCAGTATTCTCAAGTGTCGCCAGCCAGAAGCTTTTTAGATCTACACACCACCTATTCATTTCCTCCCGAGCCTAGCCAATAATTTCCCAGAGATCCCATTGCCAAACAACGATTGCTCAACACAAATGAGATGACACAATGGGCTCGCCAGTCCGCCCACGGAGCAGTGAGGATGAGACGAGTCAGCCCTCACCGCATGACATTTCTGAATTGGATTTCCAATTAGGGGAATTTAATGTAATAATCTCAAGCAAATCTTGCAGTCTCCACTAAGTAACACAGTGGCGCATCACCCCGAGCTTTGCCTTAACACTTCTCCCTCAGAGGAAGGCGGCTGTTACCGGGAAACCCAAGGGAGGAATTTTACATGATTGACATACACTTAACCACAGACAGGCAACCTGCAGGTTGTATGAGAGGCAGCATTTAGAAAGGCTATAAGCCTTATATTTTTAAAGAGTCGACTCTTCTTCAACAAAAGGACTTTAAATTCTTTCTTTGCAGGTTTTCATATTGCGTGTAACACACTGTGTAAACCACAGAAACTTTATGATTAAAACAAACAAACATTATCTGTCACCAGAGAGAAAATCAAGAATCAAACTGTGGTGAGCCAATAATGCAGATAACATACAGCACAAAATGAAAAATACCTTATCTGATTTTTTTTTTTTTTTTAATATCTTATTTAATGTTCTCAATATCTGCACAACCTTACAGGGATCGTATACTTCTACTAAGGGCTTGTCCCTTTAGTACATCTTTTAGCTTTACCCAGTGTGTGATTTTGGGTAATTGAATCTGATTATGTCCACAGTCACTATCAATTGCAGACAATACAGTGTGGACAAGTATGACAGCTACTTTACATAACCCTGGGCTGTTTTTTCAGTTTTTAATAGTGACCTCATAACTACTGAAGGCTGACAGAGAGAGCAGGAGGAAGGAGAGCTAACTCTTTCTAACCATACAGAGTAGGTCTTTAATAGATGTGACAAACCACATCAAATGTTTACCTCACTGAGGGCTTCCTCCAGTTACTACTAAAAAGAGAAAGTCATATTCCTGGTTCACACAAAGCTGAGGATAGTCAATGAGGTTGCATAGGACAAAGATTTCCTTATAATAAGAGAATTTTGCTAAACAATGAGAATCCAATTGTGACAAGACTTTCCATCTCCAGACCTGTGACTGTGTTCACGTCCAGACTCTATGTAAGCATTATAATTACTGACACATCTGCAATTCGTTTCTTTAAACGTAATCGTGGGCCGATTCGTTGCAGATTTCTTTAGTTAAGTTGCATAATTTCCTCTCAGGCTGTTTGTGCACATTACAGTAGAAATGGCAGTAACACAGGAGCTGTAGGCTAACAAAGAAGCATGCCACTGCTTGGGCGCTGCACTGGTTTGGCTTGCGATTGTTTGACAATGCAGGGAAGCATGCAAACATGAAACATCGTTTCTTGCAGTAACAATAAAGGATTGGGTAATATTCGCCAGGGGCAAAGCTGCTGTCTGTCTCCCATGTAGTCAGAGCCACCTCGCCTCGGCTTTCCCTAAGCCTACCTGAGCAGACTGGAGAGCGGATGAGAGGAGGCGCCGTGGCCACCGCTGTTGCCGCTTCCACCGGTCCCAGACGATCCGCCAGCGGACTGTCGCTTCCCGGATAAAAGCTTCTCCACGGCAGCCAGGTTTCCCGTGCGCGCCGCTTCAAGAAGCTCCTGCTCCTTTCCCATCGCGGATCCCAGAAAGAAATCAAAGGAGGCGCGGGGAAAAGAAGGAAAAAGGGGAGGGGGGTCGGTTATGGGAGTGAAATTCCTGTGCGAGCCCCTCTTTCTCCCGACCTCAAGTTATTCCTCAGTGCTGCTAAGTGTGAAGGGGAAACAAAAGCTCCCTCCGCCGCGCTGGATCCGTCCGACCCGATCCACGGGTGCTTCTGGCGCTCACTGGAGTGAAAAGTTTCCTTCAACAGCACGGCGCATCGAACAAACTTCCTCTGACCAGACCACTGAGCGTCGTCCGTCACTTCCTTGAAACTGCCCTTTCTTTATGCATCTCCAGTCCGAAACCCTTCAGACGCACACGCATTCGCTCGCACACACACACATTTATACCCCCTATCACCGCCGCCCTTACTGCTTCAATCAGAAGGTGGATGGATATAAGCAAGATGGCGCATTGGTTAGAGACAGGCAGGATTTACCCATTCAGTGCTTTTAAGATCTGTTCGCCTCTGACCTCTTGTATCCACAGTAAACGTCCATACATAGTCCCTTAATTACTTACTAAACGCTTTATAAATTACTGATTGGTAGTCTGTAAGTATAAATAATACTACTAGTAATAATATCAATAATAATAACAATAATAAGAAGAACACAAATTAAGTATAAATATTTATGAATAACTATAACTGTGAATTACTCTTACTATCAATGGAACTACCTGACATTAGCAGCTAGGCAACTCTAATCGTATTAATTCCGGTCAAATTAATAAATGTTTTACAGCATTTTGTCCAGTGAAAGTAGATAATCTGGGAAATAACAAGAGAAAACCAAGGAATATATAATGCTTTACTTATTTCAGACAGAAGCCACTTGCAGCCTGAATATTTACTGAATATTAAGGTGCTGTAATTAAGGTGCAAAAAGACAAAGCAAAATGAAACGAACAAACAAATGAACGAACATCGTCCTGTTTATTCCTAACATCTGAACGTTACTTCTAAAGTCCCTCGCTGGTTACTTCACAGAAGGCGGTGTTAATAAAGTTCGTACAAAACGGAAACGGAAATGCGTATGCTGTGTTAGCAACATTACCAGGGAAATTAGCCATTTGATGCATCGTACCTCTTACTGTAGGTGGTTACGTATTTATATAATCCATAGCTACTGCGTTCATTAGAATATAATTTTGTGTACTGGGGTATATTATATAAATCAGGCATGTGTTAGCCACCGCTAGCTTCTAATTATCGTTAGCTTAAATTGACGGCCAGATTGTTGCCGCTGCTTTGTTGACGCCTAGCTGCGTACAGGGTATGTGCATACTCGTTTGTTTGTTTTTTTTGTAAAGTTTTATCCATACACTGCTATTAATACTAATATACCTAATTTCTGGGCTATCTAGCTAAAACAACTAAGTAATTTAGCTAATTGTAGCTAGCTTTTTAGAGTTGGGGTAAGTATCTCATCAACTTCTTTGATATTTGCAGAATCTAAAGTGAAATTAGTAAAATGGCAGACCCTGCACGGATCAAGAGTGAGGATGCACTTCAGAGGACATCTCCTACCGACGAGGAGCACCTGAAGTCAGAGGAGAGTGAAAATCCTTCAGCCACAGAAAAACCTGCAAATGAAAACCTAGAGACATCGTCGCAAGATCAGCCTAAAGAAAATAAACATGTGAGTTTCGAGCGTCATTTGCATAAGTTATTCAAGAAAGAGGTTATAAAAGATAAAGTGGGATAAGTAGGACGATGAAGAAAGTAAACAGGAGTACTGGAAGGCTAGACGCACTGCATAGGCTTGTAGTGAGATGTATGTGAGGAAGGAGGAAAAGAACTTGTATCGACTGGTAGACGGAGAAATCAAGATGGAAAGTATTTGAAGAAGGTTAGGGCGATTAAGGATAGAGATGGAAATATGGTAACAAATGACCCGTGGATCTAGAGAGAGGAAATGATTGGGTGCCAAGGGAGGATTGCTGTTACAGCATGATAAGGCTGGAGTGGCAGAGAAAGGTGTTGCAGGACATGTACAAGGATATTGAGACAATGGTGATGTGTGCGGCAGGAATTACATATAGGTTAAAGGTACATCAGGATAACAGATGAGGTCAGGTAGGTCATAGTTTATGTGAATTTTGATGTTTTCAGACTGTGTTGTGGTCTGGGAATGGGGAGCAGATAGAAGAGAGGTGGAGATATGTGTTGGAGAGAAGAGGAATCAAAGTCAGTAGAAGCAAACAGAATACATGTACTTGAATGAGAGGGGAATAGGCTTAAAAGTGAAGATGTAAGGAGCTGAGGTACTGAGTGTAGATTAGTCTATAAATATATGGGCTCAGCCATCCAAAGCAATGAACCGTGCAAAACTGAAGTGAACAAGGAAATGCAGCCATGGTGGAGCGAGTGAAGACGCTTGTCAGGGGTCATTTATGCCAGAATGATAGCAGCAAGGGTGGAAGGGTTACACGATGGTAATGAGACCTGCAATGATGTGTTGTTTGGAGACAGTGGGGGTAGCAAAAAGACAGGGGGTGGAGTTTAAGGATGCTAAGATTTTCTTTGGGAGTGACCAGTATGGACAGGGTTAGACATAAGTAGGGATGGGTAT